TCTGTCACTTTCCAATAATCTTGTTATATTATCTTTTACACCTAATTATTTCATGCTTTCCCATAACAGTTTTCCTTATATATAATAGGTTGATATATCAATTTACAAAATTTGAAAGACATTAGATATAGCTAATTAGAAACAAAAACATAACTTTTAAACTTTTCAACAGTTTGGCCTATCAAGGACAGCTATTTGACATAAATAATACATACTAACATCTGTCAAATTTCTATCTAAATTATTATTTTTCAGTCAAGCAATCGAAGTATAGGTTATTATGGCTGTTAGTTAACATATAATGATATAATTAAGATTACGAGTACATCTTGAAAACGCTTGTGCAGATATTAAAGCAGATCCATCACCATTCATCACGGTGAACAAACCGCGAGCTAATCTCCTCTCCCGCTCAGCGGCCATATATCAGAGCGAGAGGACATTTTTACGAGCTCTTAATCAAGAAATATAGGATTGCAAGGCGATTAAGAGAGCGCGATTTACCGCCGCGCTAATGCAGTCGTTCTGATGATAGGTGGCCTTTGTTGCGATGTTGTAGGGTTTTTATGGTAGCGCAAATAAACTGTTTGCAAGTTGAAATATCTCTTTTGGCTACTGTTGAATATTTATAAGTACTTTAGAGGTCGTGGGCATAGTGTTTAAAAATAAAAGAACGTCTATGTCGTGGTATGCCGTGTCTAGTCTTATATATAGTATCCTAGTAAGATTAATTTAGTGATTTAATTTAGTGTTTTTTCCCATTATCAAACATTTGGTTGCTAGAAATAACACATGCATTGGTCTCTCAAATTTATGTATTTATAGAACGATAATTTAATCGGTCCTTTTTTAATGTTGGAAAAGGCATTTATGCACAACACGTGTATACGTGCAGGTGGTAATATGGAACTCACCGAGTAGAAAAGCCAGTACTATCCAGTAAAACCCAACGGAACCTCCCACGTCTTAATGGAGCTTTGCAGGTTCGCTTCCGCACTCAACCAATACGCCCGGAAAACTGCCTACCGAGGCAGATCACAACAACCATGGGTTTGCTTGCATGATCCACTCTGCTATCAGAGAAGTACCGGGAGCAACCCGCATGGTACACCGCCCACCGACCGACCGTCGGGACCGTCTCCCGGTGTGTCTGTTAACTTCACGTCCGTGGCTTTTCTTGCTGGTTGACTCCTACATAATCACTTGTATATTTTGTTTCAGGTGGTATGCGTATTTCCTAACATTAAAAAAAAGTCATACTCTATCTGTACATCTAAACTGGTACAGAAGTTTCACCGTGAAGGAATAGCAAAGGCACAAGTACTATTTAACATTGTAGTAACGGTAACAGTACATTAAATGCAATCTTCGCATTAAAAGTAGTAGTGTGATATTCGTATTTAATATAGTAAAGCGAAGGATAAATTAAACATAATCAAATAACAAGTTGTTCACAATTTGTAAAAATAAAAAAGCTCAAAGAAAGTTGCCACTTCGGCAAAAGCATACCCTGTATGTACACTGCGCAGTAAACAGAAGGCGTGAACGACAATTCAAGCCCCAATACTTGTTCCTATTCCAGCAATAAAAGTAACGAGCAACTACGAACGAGAGTACTCTTCGCAGTTCTTAGTAGATAGCGAACGACGATATTTCAGCGGCGCAAAGTATATCTCGACGGTATCAGCCAAAATGTGCCGTTTCGACGCGGTAAGTGCTACAATTTATTATAGACTTTGGTGTGTGGGATGTGACGTAAGGGAATAAGCTATATAAATAGAGTCAAATCATGGTGGAGTTGAACTTGACTGGGTCATTTTGGATGATGTTTTTTAAGAGCTTTTGGCAGAAACCTTGCCTGGTTATTAATCTTACTGATGGATAGGTAATATTCGTATTAGAACATTATCAATGTCCAAGTTTCTAAGGGAATATTTTGAAAATCATGGTTGTACTCGTATTAGTCATACATTGGTTATGAAGTTAGAACTCACCGTCTACCTACCGAATAATGCAGGCATCAACGATGTAAACGCTATATCTTTTCTTTTAAACCGTATTATTAGTCACAATATTTCACCGAGGGCAGACATTTTTATAGGTATTTAGCGAAAGCGACGCCTCTGCGGGCCAATTTGAAACTTGTTTGCGTGGCCAATTTACGAGCCAAGTTAATTTGAAACGGCGTGTCCCCGCTTTGTTTATTATACTGCTATGTAATTATACCTTAGTTCAAAAAGTTAAAACTATTTGTATGAATTTAATAAATTAAAAAAAAACTGTATACATCACATACCTACCTGCTTAACATAATTTTACGATATATCGTGTTTGGTATGAAGATAATAATCATTTAGGCAAGTATGATGTTAATTTATACATATAATAAAATTGTAACTAAGCCGAATTTGTGCATTAAATATTTTTTTGGAAAATCTTATTGAAATAGACATTCTCATCGATACAGAGGCCGAATCTATAGTTTTTAGAATTTTGTCTGTCTGTGACCGCATCACGGAAAATTCACTAGAGGGATTTTGATGAAATTTGGTATGATGATATCTGGTTATCCGGGTCAACATATAGAATATTTTTTACTGCGGGAAAACATCTCATCTCTGAGAAATCTATATTAAACGTTAAAACGTAAGCAAGGACGAACCCAAGCGGAACGATGGTAAGTTGTCATATATTTTTAACTTCTATTCAGTATCATGACATTATTAAAATCTATCCATATCTCTGATCCTCACTAGCATCGACATAACATATTTCGTAGTGTTATAAAGCGTGGCAGTGTAACATATCGACGCCTCGAAGGTGTGATCCCGAAGGACCTAGAAAGAGGGTTATATTTTCGGCATCGCATTATAGTCCCAACGGCTGCAACGGAACACTAAGCAAATTTATTCATGTATACGCCGCATAATAAAACGAATTGGACGTGAAATATTCTATCTCTCTCTCGTTCTACAGATTGTCTCTTTTTCTCATATAGTAACTTAATGGATATAGTGAACAAACATTCATTCACTTTTTCTATCTAAAATATCATCTGCGAGGCGAGACGATGTTCCTTAACGCTTCAGAGCAAGAAGCCTGTTGTAGGAGACTATTACTATGGACGTAGCAAATACTTAGTAGTTATATAAACAGTTTACATACATCAAAATAGTGTAAATCCTCACTACAAGATCACTAGGATCTTTTAGTGAGGATAATATGTTGTGACATTAACACACAGCACCATCTCAGTTCCATGGTAGTCGATACACTAAACATATGAATATAACTTTATTGTATATGTATAAAATATTATAAATATAAACACCCATGACTGGAATTCAAAGATTCGTGCTCATCATTAAAATGAATGTCCCCAGCGGGACTCAAACCCGCGACCGCTGGCACAGCAAGTAGGCTCACTACTAACTGAGCCAAACGTGTCGTCAGTGAAGGATGGGACTAAAGTTATAAAAAATCTTTAAAGTTCTGCCTTCTGGACCTCAAAAGAAAATCTCTTACCTAAATTGTAACTTGGCTGTCTTCAAAGGTGCGATTTTCACCTACATATTATAAACCAAAGTAAAATTAATTCTCATGAAGCAATAAGGTATACAATCTGGTTACTAGACTAGTAGATTTTAAAAAACTCTAACTTAAATAATAAACGGTCATTTAATTTATATACTTTAATACAAACCCTATTTTAAACCTCTCAACGATATAGGTAAATTCCTTATAAGTACTGAATATACTACGACCTAGATTTTAATGATTTCGGTAAAAAAAAGATTCAATTATAATCATGCATTGAATTTTAAGAAGAAAACTTCTAGAATATAATATTTTTTTTAAAAATACCACACTCCATAGTGGCTATTTTCATACAAATGTATGTATGTATATATACCATTTTCACGTTTCATAAAAAATAAATTTCACTCGCATCGATTCAACATCCCGAGGGCGTATCAAGTTTTTATAGTCTCTTATGGCAAAGTAAAAATTCCATTAGAGTGTCGATTACTTTCAGGGCATAATAGCATTCAATACAATATTTATCGCTCAAGAGACGGTTCTTATGATAGTATAATAAGAAATATTATAGAATTTCCACTTAAAAGTTTATATTAAATGATTATAATGTAGCTTATAAACATATTACTTATCTAAAATGTAGAGATATCATTTCTAGGAATAATCTTCCAAAAATTCTTATTTTTTATAATAATTAGCTAATTATTTAGAGATTAAATCTATACTTATAGCCTCTAGGCAAATACTTGTTACTTATATTGCGTAGAAATAAACGACAAGAAAAAACTTAATGGTTGATTCAAGCATTAGGTAAAGAACTATTGCTAACATATATGATTTAAATATTTAGTAGTTATTTTAACAACAAACACATCAATTTTATATGTATATTAGAGAGTATACATACAATTTAACGACACGCAACAACGACGCGAAATGCCCTAGAGCGATAAAAGATATAAACCGGTGACGTTTCAGGAAGGGTTTACTACTTCCGGCGAGATGACGGCAAAGTGCTTGATAAAACACCTAAAATGTGAAAAGTACTTAAATGAAGTCATGAAAGTTGTAGTTCTTAATCAAATGTTCGTATGTTTGTCCTCTATGCGTTTCTAAACCAGTGATCCGATAGTGATGATGAAACTCTGGTGGGTTATTACGTATACGCCTGCATTAGTTCCTAGTCCAAAAAAAATATTTTTGTATTTGGACATTTGTCTTTTATGCGTTTCTAAACCATTCAAGCCGGGACAGTAGTAGAATTTTAAATATATGCTTATTTTCTAAAAATGGTTATTTTACAAATACAACCATATTCCGTAACTAATAAGATATAAATTAAAAAAAAAGAAGATATAACTAGAGCATGGTATCTGTTACTAGGCCTACCTGATTTTATTCACTGTAATCAATACTAAAACATATCTATAATTTAAAAGTATTTGGTAAGAAATATTAAAATGACAAGTGATTACTACTTCAGGAAATGGAAAAAGTGCCTTGAAACATTAAAAAATTTAGTAGAACTTGACACAGAGTATCAGGTGTGTACTGTAAATAAAATTAACAGAAATAGGCTAATTATATGATCAGTATATACATAATGTTTCTTTTAAAGGCAATAGGGGTAATAACTCATGGGCAAAAAATATGTATCTATTTTTATTTTCGTTTGTTTTATGTCAACTATGAAATTATAGAAAACTAGCATTGCCCGCGACTCCGCCCGCGTTCAGATGACCAAAAACCAAATTCTTAGGTTTTACATATTAGTATACTCTTACATTGCAGTTTTTGTATTTTTTTTTCAGAAATGAGATATTTTCCCGCGGTAAAAAGTATCCTATATGTTGACCCGGATAACTAGCTATCACCATACCAAATTTCATCAAAATCCCTCCAGTGGTTTTTCTGTGATTCGGTATCAGACAGACAGACAGACAAAAATTCTAAAAACTATAGATTCGGCCTCTGTATCGATAATAATGTTTATTTCAATATGATTTTCCAAAAATTATTTAATGTACAGATTCGGCTTAGTTACAATTTTATTATATTATGTATAGATTGATATGTAAGGTACCCGCTACAGACAGACTGGTTTGTCTATGCACAAAACTCATGGCGATTTTAATACAAAATATATTATTAGAAAAAAAAACATAAAAATTTTATTACTGTTCTGGAGTATTTTTTGTTACTTACTGCATTTTATTTAAGTTTTGTTTAACGACCCCTATTGGAAAAATATACAAAATATATTTATGTATAAACGTTTCTGGATAATAATGACTGTAATAAACAATCTAGATATCAAAGGCTCACGACCAGCAAATCTGTGAAACCGCTCAACGACTAAATGGAGTACTTGGAAACTATATCGTAAGCTACAACGAGGCTTTAGAATGTCTACAACATAACTTACAAATTCAGAAAACTGAATACATTTATAATATTGTGAAGACAATAGAAGCTAGGTAGGCATTATAATTGTTATCTAAATAGTTAGTCGTAATTCAATTTGATCTATACTAAAACTAATAAATGTTGTATGTATGTACTTATATATGTAAGCATTCCGCCCTTTTTGTCGTCCCACTGCTGGGCACGGATGTCAGTGTGAGAGTGATCAGGTCCACCACGCTGGCCAAGTGCAAGTTGGCGGACTTCTAATGTCTTTCGAAAAGTCGTTAGGTTATCTAAGACTTGCAGGTTTCCACGATCTCTTTACCATAAGACAAGTATTCGACTTTCCTTAAGTGTATTCTTTTCATTACCATTAGGCAAGACTCAATGTATGTGTATATAATCTTCAAACTATGTATCCGAACTTAAATATAAAAATGGAACTTTCACATAGATATATCATTAAAAGTCTCATTAATTTTTTTTCTAAGCATTTAGGAGAAACAAGCGCTTTACACAAACTGAAAGACAAAAAATTAAAAGACTGATTATTATTAATATTACTTTTATGGATTTTATGAGTTTCCAAAAATCTTCAAGCACATTTTTATACACGAAGCATTTGCAGTAAAACAATTATATTTTTAGGATTTTAGAGCTTAAAGGTCAATTGAGGCAGCTGGAAGGTTCCTATTGCCAGTTTTTGACCAATGGATTGATAGAACACAAAATAACTCCTCATGACACAGAGTTTTCTAATATTTCTTCAAAATACGAGAGACCTAAAAACATTAAGATATTGATAGATGAAGCTTTACTGAAAGCTAAGGAAATGAAAGAAAAAGATGTACATAACATTGGTTGGTATAATCTATACATACAAGTATAATAAAATTCTATCCGAGTCGAATCTGTACATTAAATATTTTTTGGAAAATTTTATTGTAATAGTCATTATTATCGATACAGAGGCCGAAACTATAGTTTTTAGAATTTTTGTCTGTCTGGGGACGCATCACGAGAAAATCACTAGACAGATTTTCATGAAATTTGATATGACGATAACTGGTTTCCGGGTCAACACTTTAAATACCATATTACTATACTTTTAATGCGAGAAAATATCTCTGAGAAATCTATACTAACCGTTAAAACGTTGCAGTATAGTAGTATTTTAGTAATATTATAAATATTTTTTTACTGAAATTTCAATGAAACATAATACTAACCACATACCTACAGGCAACAAAGAAAACGTAAAGCCCGAAGACGAATTCCTACAAAACTTTAATTGGTGGGAAGATCAATCTAAAGTAAAAGACGAACAACCTAAAGGAATAAATATCACTGCAATCTATGAGGTCAAAGAAGTGATATCTGAAGAGACATTGAAGAGGAAGGAACTTATATCATTAATACAGACACATGAACTTACTAGGTGACCTAGTACAAAAATCCTAATCATACTAATATTATAAAGAGGTAAAGTTTGTACGTTTGTGAGTTTGTTTGTAGGAAGTAATCTCTGGAACTACTAAACCAATTTAAATAGAATTTGGCAAGAAGATAGTTTGAGACCCCGGAAAGGACATAGAATTGTGTTTATCTCGGCAATCGTCTTAAGGGGGTGAAAATGGAGATGAAAGTTTGTATGGGGAACCAACCTAAGGACGAACTCGAGCGAAGCGAAGGTGAGTCGTTAGTTTATTATGTTTAATAATATAAATAGATGATAAAAACAAAACAAAACTACTTTATTAATAAAAAAATTAAAACATATCAATTCATAGAAAATTACGATATATTGAAGATGTTTATCTTGTACGATAGGCAAGTCACAAGAAGGAACTTGTATCAAGCACAAAAGAGAGAAATATGGGAGGAAGAATTAAAAGGTACTTTAAGCCCAGCAGCACCATTGCCTTTAAGAGAAAAAAGTGCAAAACTGATACAGAGAGTTGTGAGGTAACAAGATGCTTTCTTACATTTATTAAAGTTATTTAGTCGCAGAGAAAATAATTACTAGTAAAATATTTTTATTGCAGAAAGTATTTTGAAATAAAACGAAAAAGAATTAGAGACTGTCTATTAGACGAAAAATTGAATCTTAAAACATGTAATAATCCCGCTATAGGAAATATCCTAAAAGATAATGAGGTACTAATCAAAAGTAATGTTATTTTATTTATTGAACTAGGTATAATAAACTAAATTTGCATAAAAAAATAATACCAGATGTACATATGTGTATATTTGATAAAGACATAAAATACTATATAATGTAATGAAATTGATAACAGTCCAGTATTTAAGGTGTGTCAAATGAAAACATGGTAGCTGAATAAGCTTAGGGAAACTAAAACGTTTTTTTTTACCAGAAGTAGGTAATTTTATTAAAACCACAATAACAAATATGATCTTACTGATAATATTACTATAGTGACTCTGGGAATATGAAACTAACTATACTAACTAATATATTTTATAGAAGAAATCGAGGTATACCGAATTGTATAAGAAATACGAGATCCAGTGGAAAGATGATTGCCATAAATATAAGCAATGCTACTTGAAAAGAAAACGTGATGATATTTCCGAAGATTATCGTAGTTATGTTCGAGATTGGTTGCGTTTATGGTACCTACTGTTCTAATATATTGTCTCGCAATTACCCATCAAAAAATACCCTGAGTTAATTTTCTACATCCACTTTTGTATTTACTACAAGATTTTGATGATTTGTTGATGAATTTCTAAATATATACAATAGACATATCGTAACAAGCAATATTTTTGAAGTGCAGTTAAATTTTATTCATATTACATATGCTCGCTATATAATACAAAATTCTAATTCTTTTGCTAACCAAAATGAATAATTGTATTCAGTCATTTTTAACGTCTAACTGCTAGGCACAGGGCTTCCTTCAATACCAGGAGGATCAGGGCATAGTCCATCACGCGGGCCAAGTGCGAGTTGGCGGATTTCACAGGCATTTTGAAAATTTTCTTTGTTCTCTCAGACATGCAGGTTTCCTCACGATCATCATGCTGGAAATAATTCACACATGAAAATATCAGAGGTGCGAGACCCGAGATTTGAGCCCGCTTTACTCGGTTTCCCAAGCAGACGCGTAACTATTGGGCTATATTATAACATACAATTCAATTTCAGGTACGAAGAGGCTAGATTCTTCTATGACATTCCTAAAGAAAATCGGGGTGGTATAGTCTCAATCATCAAGGAAGAAGTTCCATCACCTTCAGAGTGGTTAGACAAATATGAAACTTACTTGGAAATGAAGAAATCTAACAAAATGAAAACATCCTACCAAGTAAAGAATACTCCTGCTTACAATTCTATGTGACATTAGCGAACTAAACTGCGCTCAATTAACACAGCTTATAGCCATAAAATAAAAAATTTACTTAAATAATTATTATTGTAATATTGTAAGCAATTATAAATCCATTTAAATATTTGGCTACTAGAGTTCATCTATTATTTTCTACGTATATTCAGTAATTAATTTTGAATAAATGTAACCTTTCGGATATTTTGACGGAATATTTTTTCATTTTTTTGATGATTTGATGATTTGTCTTCCCGACGTTTCGAACGCTTTACACTTTACAGCAATCATGGTCATGGTAGACATTTATTTAAATAAATCCTCGGAAAAATCCGAAAATATGGTTTTATTTAAAAGGTCTCGAGTACCTAAATCTAATAAACTAATTTTCAGTAACATATTGCTTACGTTTTGCCACAACATTTCTAGGTAAAGCAAATAAAAAATTCATATTCTCGTGAGTTTGTAAAAGAAATATTTTCAATCAAAATATTTTTAGCTTAAATGGGAACAACAAGAGACAAAGGAAGAAGAGACCAAGTTGAAAAGAGAAGAGTTACAGAAAAAGAAATTAGAAGCAGAGTTACTTAAAAAGATTATGAAAAATCCAACCTTACATCCAGGATATCATTATCCTATGTCAAAAAAGACTCATAACATTGTAGAGGTAGTAGTTTAATGCTCTTCAGCACAATTAAATAAATACTCGTACGTGTTTTAGAATTTTTCGAAATTCATCTCATATGGGGGTAAAATAGAGGATGAGTTTTAGCGTGAGCGAAGCCGCGGGTTCTGTTAGTAATGAATAAAGATTCACGATTAAATTTATTTGTTTTTGCGAAAATATTGGTAAACTAATAAAAAGGGAAAAGATATAATGACTTCTATCCAAACAGGCTTTGGAACAATATTTTGAAAGTTGGAACGATCTAGACAAAGAAGAGATTATAGCTGTAAAAGAAAAATACGTTAAAATTGTAGATGAAGAACGTTTATGTATGGAAGCTAAGATAGAAGTTTGTAAGTCAGTTAAAGATGATATGAGGCAAGTATCGCATAAACATATACGTACATTTTTCATTTTTTTTTAATAAAGATCAAATCTTAAATATTGTAGGACCGAAATAAAAATTTTGAAGAAAGCTTTAAAAGATGAGTATCTAAGAAATGGAGAGAAAATGCCAGAGCAAATGAAGAAAAAAACACAAAAGCCTAAAAGCCCTCGCAAGCTGAAAATAAAACAGACGGATAATAATATTTTCGACAAATTAACTGTATGTATAATTATCATCTGAAACTAACAAATAATGTATTTTTAATCGCTTCATTGATATAACATTTTGACTTCTTCACTGAACGTGAAGCTTGGTGATTTAGATAAAGTGAAAGATTAACTAACTAATTACTTCTCTATTCTATAACGTATATTCTCCATTATAAAATGTATATTCTTCAATCTACGCGACATTAGTAATATACGCCTAAAAGCCGTTAAAGTATGGGTTGAACATTCTAAATAGGAAAGCATTGGTTTGAAAATTGTTGGATTGCCATCAGTTTACACTACAACGTATCGACGTGATTCCTTGCAAATATACAGTTGATGAGTGCCCTATTATAATACTTTATATCTCGCTACATGAACTACTTCCCATGAGACGTAAAATATTTCAAATATTTATTAAAAAGCGAGAGCTTGTCGCTTGTCACTTACCTACATATTATAAAAACACTATGTTTAAGGATCTCGCAGTAAAGGGACACCTAAAAGAATATCCGCTAACAAATTTCGAAGACTTCCTCGGGGACTTGAATTACGCCGGCGCTGATCGCAGATGTGCTTTACAGTTAGAATTTCAATAGCATTTTTTATCACTTAAAAGCTTGTCGACTATGTTTTAAGTATTTATTAATATTGAAATTACATATCTTTATTACTAAAAGAAAGTCTTCTTACGATTGACAACGACCAAACTCACAATTTTTCATTAGAATGTTTCTTACTCTAAAAATGATAATATTATATATTTTATTTGTAAATGCTTACTTTTTGTTGCAATTTTAGACAAACTCTACATTTCGGAGGAGAATCAAGAGCTCTATGGTGGGAGAGATGTAGAGACGTAATTCATGGATTTAAACGAGTATTATTGGTGGGGCCAAAGCAAAGTGGGAAAACAACCTTAGTTCATGTTATGGCTACAGTAAACGGTACTTTCATTAAAATTCTTTCATCGGCAATATAACTAACAATTAAATATTTGGATACCATATAAAAAGTAACCTATTTTCTCTCGCCTAAATGTTTATCTTAGTAGCGATTCATTCAGCTTGCTCACTCCAAAGATTAACAAGTTCAAACAGATAGGAACAAAAATTATCTAATAAGCTTATTTTATTTGAGCTTAGTACACAGTATGTATGTATATACTATCGTGAATCTTGTGGATATTTTAAAATCACAGGCGCATAAGCTTATTTGTAAAATAAGGAAATTAAAGCAAAGGATCACTGTTTAACAAATTATTATTAATAAAGGTCTAATTCGTTGCATCATTCCTACATATTTCTTATACCTTATGTTTGTCTTACGGTGAAGAAAAGCTTTGTGAGGAAACCTGCATATCTGAGAGAACCTAGGAAGTTTTTGAAAGACACGCTTTGTCCGCCTGAACTTAGCCAACGTGGTGGATTATGGCTTGATCGCCTTTGTATTTAAGGGAGGCCCACCCCCAGTAGTGGGACGTTAAAAAGTACGCAATACAGGCGGAAATGTGTACAGCGTGAACATTAAATATATACTTTTTACTTTCGCAGATGCTGTATTGTACGAACTAAGTCCAGCTCAGATAGAGATAGAAAATCTAAATATAGAGTACTTACAACAGTTAGTCAATTCTATAACAACTTGTGCGAAGATGACGCAACCTTCCATTATCTATATTAAATATGTTCATAAGCTCTACTGGACAAAGGTAATTTTATATATCTATTCATTTTTAACCCCCGGCGCAAAAAGCGGGGTGTTATAAGTTTGACGTCGATGTCTGTCTGTGTGTGTGTGTGTCTGTGGCATCGTAGCTTTCAAACGGATGGACCGATTTCGATGCAGTTTTTTTCATTTAAAAGCCAGTTTCCTTGCGTTGGTTCTTAGCTATGTTTGGCTAATATCGGTCCAGCAGTGTAAGAGTATCAGCTCTTTTCCAAAATGATGTAAGGCATTTTGGCGTATGATTTTACTCGATTAAGTGCTTCACGCGTGCCAGTATAAACGTTAAATGACAATTTGCGTAGGGGGCTTTTTAAATTTTTAATTTATAATTACATTTGCGTTTTGTTTTGTACTTGTTGTTTTGTAATACTTAGTACATAAAATAGTTTTTGTATAAAATTATATTTTTATCAATCACTCATGTTGTATGTATAAATAAAAATCCTTAAATAATTCATAAGCAAACAGAGAGCTGTATATAAATACTTTGTAGGTGCCCCGAGAGGAAGCATATAGAAATTTCGGTCTTATAAAACGATTTTTTATAAAAAAATTGTTCAATAAAATTAATAAACATGACAGAATTACTATCGTGGGTAAGATTTAATATAAACTGTAAATATTAATTATAATAAGTGAGTTTAATAATAAAAAGTCTTTCTTCTAAAAGGTTAGTTGAACAAAGTTAATTTTGATTTTATTTCTAAAACACTACATTTCTTTGACTTTATATTTATGTTCAATTTGATCCTTATAGTATAAAATAATAAGAAAATTATAATTTATTTGTTTGACTATTTCCAGGCAGCTGTGTAAATCCATGGTTGACTAAAAGCAAGCAAATGGTGACAAAATTCTCTAATGTGCTACTTTTACCCGAAACAAATTATTCTGCTACATACCTTATTCTCAGGAAATGGGTGCTAAAGTAATATTTACAAATACTCTTATTTGTTTTAATTACTAAGATTGATTTAATACAATACGTATATAATATATATATCCATAATTATATTGTGTATGTTAAATCAAACTACGGAAATTGCCCACAAATACATAGTCTGCAAATAAAATTTGGTAACAATCCAGTAGGTAGTATTCTATTTCATTATATGAAAGGCAAATTTTATGAATAAAATCTCTTTTGTCTGCTGTTTATGGCGCTAGACTTTTTTATAAATTTTCGTGGTTTAGATATGGCTATAGCTATGTATATAATAATGTTAGTTAATTCTTAATTTTAGGTTATAGTGTGATAGTTTGATACAAATCTATAACGCTGGCGCCCAACGCGGGGCCATTTTCCTTGATCTTTGGAATTAATCTTTTTTTTTTCTAATAATACTTTCTTTGCTTTACGCGAATATTTGATCAAACGCGGACTGTGAAAAAATCCGAAAAGATAATTTTATTTTAAAATGCTTTATTTTATTTAAAAATCCTTTCCTGTTTTAATAGTTTCAGCAATAAATAAAATTTCTGAATTTCAGTAACCGTATCGTCCCACGGGATTTAAATATAGAGGCATTGGCATATGTACTCCAAGGTTATTCCTTCGGCTATCTAAGGAAAACATTAGATAATTTTCTAAACGCTGATCAAATAGTCAAGTAAGCTTTAATATGTATATAGTGATGTTCTCCTAGCCGATTCCGGCCACGGCGGCCAATCTCATTGAGACTAGCCAACTGCGCAGGAGATATTATAGTGCACAAGTGTACGCGCAGACACAACGTGCACTCTCTATTCCTGTCACTCTCATACTCCAGTGGGACGACTGCTCGACACGACCAGTGAGAGTTAAGGCGCAGGACCGACGGCTTTACGTGCTCTCCGAGGCACGGGGGTGAAACACCGCCAACTTCCCAACTCCAGGCTGTTACTGAGACTTACTATACAGCAAGATATCTTTCATCATCACAGAAAGACTCAATAACTAAACTTGGCCCGACCCGGGACTCGAACCCAGGACCTCCGAGTGTGCAGCCGTACATGCTAGCCACTACACCACCGAGGCAGTGGTATACACTAAGATATATATATATATATATATATATATATATATATAATTATTCTTAAAAAATGAGTATTATTAAAACGAAACAATGTGTTCAAGGCACGTTGCATAATTGAAATTTTAAATGTTTTTTCTTATTAGTTATTTTTTTTAGTCCTACTCAAAGTATCTAAAATCTATACTAATATTATAAAGAAGTAAAGTTTATGAGTTTGTGACGTTGTAGGGGGTAATATCTGGATCTACTGACCCAGTTTAGATGAAATTTGGTGAGAAGATTGTTTGAGACCCTGGGAAGGACATAGGATACTTTTTATCCCGAAAATCGTCCGTTAAGGGGGTGAAAATGGGGATAAAAGTTTGTAAGGGGAATCAGGCCAGAGACGAACCCGAGCGAAGCGAGGGTGAATCGCTAGTATTAAAATATAGGTATTGAACAAAAATATATTTTATATTTTAGGATAGCAGCTTACGGTTTGAAAACCGAAGATATTTATAACTACATAATAGAAGATGACGGAGAAGATAAAATTGTTAGTAACATACCTACAAGAAATACGTGAAATTACGTAATATAGTAGGTAGATGCATATTCTTAAATTTATCTTTAATTATTTTATTGCGATTTTATTTTCAGGATTATAATAAATATGTAAAGTGGTATACCGAAAAAACACATTGGGGCAAATTAGAAAAAAAAAGTCTTGAAGAAAAAATCGAATTCAAACTTCTAGTACAGAAATGGCATGAAAAAATGGAGAATAAAAAGAAACAAAAAATTAGACCTTAAAATTTTATGGATTTATCAAAAATACTCAGTATTTCATTATAATGGACTCGATTTCATTTTATTGAAGACTCCAATTTCAGATTCCTGATTTGTAAATTTGAAGTACCTAATCTAGACATGGAATAAAATTGTAACTAAGCCGAATCTGTCTGTACATTAAATATTTTTTGTAAAAATCTTATTGTAATAGACATTATTATCGATACAGAGACAGAATAGAATCGAAAATTAATTTTTTTTTGTCACTCTGTCTGTGACCGCTACACGGAAAAACCATTCTAAGGATTTTGATAAGGTTTAGTATGATGATAGCTGATTATCCGGGTCAACATATAGAGTACTTTTTATTGCGGGATAGTACCTATCTCATTTCTGAGAAACGTTAAAACATAAGTAGAGATGAACCCGAGAGGAGCGAGGGTGTGCCGCTAGTATTATAATAAGTTAAAAAAGCGTTAAAACTTAAAATAGATTTGAATAAAGTGATAGGTTTTTGATACATATATAATAATATATTGTAATTGTCAAACTTCTCATAATCAAGCAACATTAATGAAAGCTTTATTAAAATTTGTTTAGCTGTTTTCATTCATATGTTAAAAGTTAACCGAATATCATTAACTGAATATCAATGTACAGACATGACTCAGAAATTAATTACATTAGGTAAATAAATAAAATATATATAAAAACGTTTTATAATAATAGCGTACGGCCATTGCAGATAAGCAATTCAAATACTGGAACGACCATGGAGTGTCAATTACATGGGAAAAGGTAACGTATGGGGGTGTAACTGCTTATGTAGCTCATTTAATTCTTCATGGCAAAAAATGCTTACCTATGAGTTAGTGGGGTGACAATAGTTTTATAATTGGATATTTTATTATTACTTTATCACTAGCCTGATTTAAACATATTTTTAATTTACCTACACAAATATTTGATATTGTAATAACACTATTGTTATTTTTTTTTTGCTTACGATGGCGCCGTTATATTTTTTTAATTGTAAGCTGTCAGTGCCATTTCTTTTTTTTTTCAAATTATTAAATGATTTTGTATATAAATACCACTGACACTGACGCCTAAAACTCCGTTGACTCTCTCGTGACCGATGTTTGCTGTGCCGATCCAAAACGTCTGGGGTCAAAAAATAAAAACAAAACGAAAAAATTCGTTTTTGTTTACAGTATGAACCAACTAAAACGCAAAGGCAAGCAAAGCCATGAATATTAGATAACAAAATTCACAAATTAACATTGTATAGATTGTAAACAAATTATATCCCGAAATATATGTACGTGTCCGGTAAAAAATTTGGTAACCCTACCAACATACCCCTTTTAATATTCCATGGTATATTTGAAATTAATTGGAGTTCAAATATTTTCATTGGAGTGCGGCTTAATTATTATTTGAGTTTTGCTTCTTGTTCCATTCACGGTGTTTGTGCAAGCGGCCTGTTAATCTTTCTTATGATTTATCTTTGTTTGATCATTTTATTTCATCTTTCTTTACTTTAGCTATTAAAATTAAATGTTTGTCAACAAATAATTACTAGATATCCTTTATGGACACTTGGTATTTATATCTACCTATAGGTACATATGATAAAATTCTAAGTCGAACTGTAGGTACATTTAAATATTTTTTGGAAAATCTTATTGAAATAGTCATTATTATCAATACAGAGGCCGAATCTAAAGTTTTTAGAATTTTAGTCTGTCTGTCTTTGACCGGATCACGGAAAATCACGGGAGGATTTTGATGAAATTTGATATGTTCGTAACTGGTTATCCGGGTTAACATCCATACTAGTATTATAAATGTGAAAGTGTGTTTGTTTGTTTGTCCTTTTTTCACGTCAAAACGGAGTGATGGATTAGCGTGATTTTTTGTGTGGAGATAGTTGCGAGGGCTGGAGAGTGACATAGGCTACTTTTTTCGCGGGAGATTATCTCAGTCCCACGGAAAAATGAAAATTATGATCAGAATTACTTGAAACTTGGTTTTAATGCTCTTCATTAAAATTTTGTTTAAGTATTTTTCGAAATTCATTTTATAAGAGGGTATAATAGGGGATGAAAGTTTGTGTGAAACTACCTTTTTACAGCTTTTGTAGTTTTAGCGCGAGCGAAGCCGCGGGTTCTGCTAGTATAGGATACTTTTTACAGCGGGAAAATACCTATCTCATCTATGAGAAATGTATACTAAACGTTAACACATAAGTAGGGACGAACCCGAGCGGACCGAGTCGCTAGTCTATACAGATAAATAAAATTGAAGTGTCTGTAATGTCAAAATAACAGCTTTTTACTAAATGCATATGAAAATATATGTACCTTACATATAAGAAAAATATCATTTTTAAAATGCTTGTCGGCCTGTTTGTTCCGGTTAATCTCCGAAACGGCTGGACTGATATTGACGGGACTTTCACTGGCAGATAGCTGTTGTTATAAGGAGTAACTTACGCTACTTTTATTTTAGAAAAATTAAAATTCCGCGCAAAAAATTAAAACCTATGAAATTGTGAACAATATTGACGTACCTAGGGAGTAGGGATATTGAGTCGCTAGTATATAATAAAATAGTAACAAAGCGAAATCTATACATGAAATATATTTTGAAAATTATGACTTTACTAATGGTAAAAACATATTGATTAATATTCATTTTAAAATTAAAATACCATAAACTTCGTTAAATTTTTATTCGAATTACAGATAAGGTAAGAAAATTTAGTTTGCATAGAGTTCAAGTTTAAAGTATCAAATGGTCAATACACATACATTTTATACATTCAATAACCAATTAAGTTCTTAACACACGAACACTTTCATGCAATAATAGTATAAGGCATTTACACACGACGCAGTGTTCATAATAATATCCAGCAGTACAATAAAACATGAATTCTAAACCACTATAGACTAAAAAATACAAAAATAAAATACCCGACTGCTTCAAAACGAACTAAAAATATAGGAACTGCATAATGCCAAGACATACCGTCGAGTTCTATTTTTATTTTCGTATTTTTAATTATTTATAGCTTTATAGCTTTGGTCAGTTAGACGTTTTAATCATTAAAATCAATAAAACCATTCAGTAATCACGAGGGAACATATGATGGAACATACATACATACATACACACATATGTACAGGTCAAACACACAATCCTCCTTTGGGCATCGCCGTAGACGGGTAAAAAGGAACAATACATGATCCATATATTTATCACTACAATAACACGTTAATACAGTCTCAGCACGCGGCACTGCGCGTTGCATTTAGGTCGCCGCGCGGGGGCCGGCGGGGGCCCGACGGGCGGGGCCCCGGCGGGCGGGAGCCCGGGCGCGGGCGCGCGCAGGGCCCCCGGCTGCAGGAAGCCCCGCACGAGGGGCCCGTGCTCAGACACTATCTTGGCGCGCTCCACTGACACCTCTTCTTGCCTGGAATAATAAAACATGTTTTAGTTATATGGTAAAATCTCACTCGATATACATTATGTATTTATATCAAGTGAGATTTTACATATGTTTACAATATTTGTGTCCACTCTTATGCTTTATATGATTTTGTACTTAAGTAAAGAGCAAAAAAAATGCCAAAAGTAGGCATAACCCTTTAATATTATAATAAATAAAACAAACCAAACCACATCACATCACAATCTTTCATATATGTGGCTCTATCAGCCTATCCAATATGCATTCCTATTAGCCTATGCATGGGTTAGGTAAGTGACGTCGTTCTAAATCCCATATGGCGGACCCCAAAAGATAGCAGATGACTCACCCTCTCTTCGCTCGTGTTCGTCCCTAGATTGCTTCCCCATACAAACTTTCACTCCCTTAAGGGAAGATTTTCGGGAAAAACTATCCTATGTCCTTCCCAGGGTCTCAAGCTATCTTCTTACCAAATTTCATGTAAATCGGTTCAGTAGATCCAGAGAAAACGTCACAAACTCAAACTTTACCTCTTTATGATATTAGTATAGATATAAAACAAACCAGGCCATATCCCAGTGGTCCCCGCGCGCCGCGCGCCGGCACTGGCGGCGCCGCGCCGCGTTGTCTTGTATCTGCTGGCGCAGTTCCATTGAATATATCTGTTTCTTTTCTTTCGCTTTACGCTCTTTTTCTTTCTCTTTCTCATCATCCGCCGCCAATTTAGCTTCGACCTTGAATTATAAATTTTAATTATATACATTTCAATCATTATTATTCTTTAAGAATTAAAATAATTGTCTTATTTAAAAAAAAATTATAACTTAAAAGCAATATTAACACCAATAACGACGATAATTTTAACCTATTTCCTATTAAGCACATCGATTTTAAACTTTAAATGTGCAATTTATTCGACAATATTTAATAATGAAGCCTGATGAAACATAATGAAAATCTTTAACAGTTCATTTGATTAATTTCATATTCATACATATGTTACATTCAGTCAAAATCATATTTTTTTAAAGTTTTTGTACTGTAATATAAATTAAAATATTATTCTTACACTTTTCCTAAACTCTGCCTCTCTCTCTTTCTGCTCTTTCTCCAACTTCTTTCTATTCTCCATCTGCGCCGTCAGCGACTGCTTCGTGTAGCTCTTGACAAGCTCGAACTTATTCTTCTCCGCGATATCGTCTTGGACATTCTTCTCCAAATATTCTTGCTCTTGGAGAAGTTTTATTAAATTCTCACGTTCTTGGCGAGATGCCTGTAATTGTGTATTCATTTATGTTATTTTGATGTAAATATATAATAAATAATAGAAATAAAAACAATATAATTATTTGGGATACCCTTTTGTCTACATATCTATCATCATTATTCATTCAGCTACAAGATCAATATATTATATACATTTAATAACATCTACTTACTATACTCTTAATAAGCCACCACTTAACAAAAAATATTAAAATAATTAAATTAAAAACGGTTAAAGTCACTAAAATTTATTTTAATAAATACAAACTAAAGTTTCAAATGTTTACTAAATATTTAATACATACATATTTACAAAATAAAATTATTCAATATTTTTCGGATAAGCGCAATCTATCGCATATTCAAATAGAACAAAAAAACACAAAGAAACGCCCAATTTAAGATTGTCCATTTTATTTGTGTAAGATGGGATATATATAATATTCTTGTAAATAAAAAATACTTAATATTTATGTTTACCTCATCAGCCAATATTTTGGCGGCAATTTTATGATTCATTTCCTCCTTTTCTCTCATTTTTCTTTCTCTTTCTGCAATACTAGAGAATATATTAAATAACATTTTTTAACGTTAACAAAAGCTTGTTTTAGCAGCGATAGTTTCATTTTAACAGTTTATAATAATTGTCTCGACCAGCGGTTCCCAATTTTTTTTTTGGCCATGGAAACCCTAATTGATCATTTTTTTAACGGATTCCCATATTGATAATAACTAAACTGATTGTGTTGTAGTTAGAGTACTTTTTTGTTTGACTTGAAATAATCCTAATAATGTTATAAATGCGAAAGTTTGTGAGGATGTATGGATGTTTGTTACTCTTTCATGCAAAAACTACTAAATGGATTTTAATTAAATTTTACAATAATATAGCTCATACATCAGAATAACACATAGGCTACTTTTTATCCCGGAAAATGTACGGTTCCCGTGGACAAAGCTCACCGGAGCGGCGAACCCGAGCGAAACGTTAATACTTATAATAATCATTTATTGTACCCAAAAATAACCCAATTAATGTGATAAATGATTTGTTTTTGATGTTAATTGTGTTGGCAATACTCACATGGCTGAACTCCTATCTGATGCTACTTTAATCTGTTCTTCAATCTTCCTTTCTTCGATAATAAGCATTTCCTTTTGTTTCTCTTTCCAAGCTTCCCTCGCTTGTTTGAATGTGACCATTTCTTTACGCATTTTGTCTGTCTGCTCGTGCTTATGTTTGAGCTCTCTGGAATATTATAAATTTAAATTAATTAGAGACATTTTTTGATTTGATTAAACAATAATGATGAAATGATAATACTTGGGAAATTCTGCATAAAATATATTAACTTATGAAATTTAATATAATAAATTATAATTAACATTATTATACTATGGTATGTTTGTTTGTTTGTCCTTGCTTCATGAAGCATTTGTTGCGAATTTTTGCACAGTGACACTTTTAGAAGAAATCTAAGGCTTCTCCTTAATCTAATACTAAGTTCATCAATCAATTTACATGGAATATAGTTTCACTGTAGTAAATTGTTGCATTATGGATCAGTATTCAAAGTATAGTATTGCTTGAAATTTAAATAATACAATAATGGGTTAAGTCATAACTTCTACTCTACACTAAGGCCCACAAACTCTACATGCACAGAAAAAATAATATTCATCCCATTTTATTTATCTTACTACTACATAAATGTGAAAGTTTGGATTGATGAATGTTTGTTAATCAATGACAACAGAACGGCTAAATGGATCTGGATGAAATTTGTCACAGAGATAGATTATAGTCTGGAAAAACATAGGCTATTTTTTATCATGGAAAAAATTATGGTTCCTATGGTATATATTTGTTTTTGTTCTTCACTAAGGACGAACCCGAGTGAAGCTAGGGTGAGCCTTTTAGTATTATTTTATTATCATACATTTACCTTTGATCCTCATCAGCTATAGTCCTTAACACTTCATCTAGCATTTTCTTCTCAATCAGTGTATCTTCATACTCACATTGCTTCTGTCGCTGTTTGTTAACCAACTGTTGTTGTAATTCTAAACAATATTTCCTATTTTTATCTATTTTAGTTCTTTCTTCATTTGCTTTTGCTTCTTTGTCATTGTACAATGAGTTAAGTAGAACTCGGTTTGCATAATCTTCTTCAACCTGAAATGGCATAATATATACAAATTTATTACAAAATTATAATCTTTGTTTGCAATTTTATATATTCATTACATTATCAAGCTATTTTTTTAATAATGAATTAACATTATTACAGTTTATTTTCATAAGACATACCTTATCTTGCAATTTTTTGTACTGATTATGCAAAATTTGCTGTTGCAGGTCTCTACAAACATACCCAGCTTGTAATTTTTTTATTAACTCTCTTAAACTTGGATCTCTTTCCCTTAAATAATGCCTTCTAAGAAGTTGACATGCCTCTTCTCTTTTAATTTTTGCTATTTCAATGCCTAGAGCTGTTTCTCTTTTAGCTTTTGCATTGACAATTGCTGCATGGTCTGTTTTCTATAAATACAGTACTATTTTAATTAATTTGTAACTTGCTGTAAAGCATTCGAAACGTCGGGAACCAAAAATCCAAATAAATCCACGAAAAACCCGAAAAGATAGTTTTATTTAAAATGTCTAATATTCGCGTAAATCTAAGAAAGTATTATAATTTGTAACTATTTTATATGTAGGTAGATAGATTTAAGCTGTAAGAAAAAGTTATTAACAAGTACGACAGTCTTAAATACTAACTTTATGTCTCGTTTATTGTACGAGACTGCATACTATGTAGTTTTACCTCTTGGAAATCTTTTTCCATTTCAGCCTCTTTTTGAATAAGTGCTTGACATCTACCCATCCTTCCGTCTTCCATGCGGCTGTTTAGCCATTGAATATCCAAAGCTCTTTGATAAGTCTCCAATTCTCTTCGACGCGCTTCTGCAATTGCATTTTTTTGAAGCTCTGTTTTCGGTTCCTAAAAATAAACAACCATGTAATAGTTTGTATTTGTATTAGATTCTTTTCAAAATTAATTACGTTAATATAAGTTTTACCATGTTCAGATACGATTAAAAGTTAATACAGTTCTATTAAAAAAATTTGAAGCATAAGAAAACTATAAGTAGTCGGTGAAAAAGGTCAAAGGATAAACAAAAAAATTGAATTTGTTAAATATTTAAAATTTGTAAACAGAATGCTTGATGTCAAGTGTCAACACTCAACCCTCAACAGTGTTGTAGATAATCTATGTTATACGTCCAGGAATCTTAAATCACCGTAATCCTATGTAACAAGTAATAATAAAATTGAAAATTGAAAATAATTTTAAATTTAATAATATTTACTTTAATTTATATATTCGGCTGAAATAATGCATAAAAAATACTAGCGCCATCTGTTGTCTACAGTAGAAATTCAGTACTGAGGATATCAAGTCAATTTACCTCCGGCCGCTAGAGCGTAAGCTCACGTCACGTAGCGCAGTATAATTTTGCTTCACTTGGATTTTGACGTGTGACAATCGCAATTACAACTGCACCGCAGTTCGATAGTGTTTCCAAAATATAGACACTCGGTAATGAAATAGTGATAATGGCTGAGAGTAAAGGTGCGTTAATCGCGAAAACAATGCAAAAACATGCCGGACGTGCAAAGGAGAAGGTATTTATGGTTTTATATATTTGAAAGTCAGTGAGATGTTTGTGCTCAAAATCTAGACGCAAGTGCTGTGAAAGTTGGTTTTGTGAGGAACTGCGTTGGTCCAAGCAGGCTCCGCATCTTAGTGCCATGTTCGTGTGTGGTCACTGTATATTCCGGTTTTCACCTGTTGCTTTTAACCTGTAGAATATAGAAACGCTTTGCAAGTTTGTAATCCTTGTTTACCCACTCAGCTGACTCGTGACTGAAGTTTACGCGAATGTCGCGCGGCTAACCTTATCTTTTCCAGGGTAATGTCGATGCCTATTAATAGGGCTAGGTAGCAGAGTTAAAATTATCATGGATTGAATTTAAGACAAAACGAGCCTATTAGAATGTAAGGAATGTGGTTATTAGAATGAAAAAGTTGTTTCGTGTTACTTATGTTAGGCAATGGTCAGATCTGGGGAAGTGTGCTCAATTCAATTTTATAAATAACACTGTCGGTAGCAACAGCCAAGACGCTTGGAGACACAGCCGCTGTCTGTGGAATAGTTATTTCAGTTTCTATTTCTGTGCTTCTAGACATTTGTCACATTTAGATATATCTAGTTAATATTTAGTGCTATTGATGTAGGTCAGGCTATTTTTATTTTGTTTTTTAATTTTAAATACATATAATTTTATATATAAAATATAAATGTTGTTATAATATAAAATGTAAATATTAATTTATATTAAAATTAAGTTTCAGTTCAATATATTATATTATATTCGTGACTGCTGTATGCACTCAGTAGGATAATGACCTGAATTGGCAAATAGCCCGGCATCTCAGTACAAAAGTTGGTAACTGAAATTCAAAGTAAATGTATAATAATGTATATTCAATAATACTAGTCAATGCTATACATATATTAATTTAGTGGTTTTTTTTTACAAATCTATATATAAAATTATAACTGAGTTGAATCTGTACAGTAAATAGTTTTTGGAAAATCTTATTGAAATATGTAGTCATTATTATTGATATAAAGGATGAATCTGTAGTTTTTAGAATTTTTGTCTGTCTGCCTGGGAACACATCACACATTACAAAAACCACTGGACAGATTTTGATGAAATTTGGTATATTGATAGCTGATTATCCAGGTCAATATATAGGATAATTTTTACTGCAGGAAATATCTCACCTTTGAGAAATTTATACAAACTGTTAAAAACTTATAATTTTAAAAATACTACTCACTCAAATACACTAATAAAATGCTATATCATGATTGTACAATAGATATCCAATTGGCAATTATAGTAACAATTGTGAAAAGTAGTATACTGTTATATGAGTAAAAAATGGCACATTCTAAGAGTGTCATACTTTAAAACATACAAGGAGTTCCTAAATCACATTATGTTATGATAAAGCTAAATAAATATTTGTATATTAATTACATTTATCGAAATAGTACTAGATACACAATCCCATTCAAAAATTCTTTTAAAACTAAAAAAAACTTTTAAAAATATAAGTACCTAATATGACTTCATCTTATGTAATAATTAAAAATAAACCTAACCTTTGCTCTATGTGATATGTATTAAATGAATCAGATACTAGGCAGTTAGTTCCCTTAACTATGTCTATACTTATTTAAATAATTCTATATTAAATCACGATTATCACGTAAAATTTATTCATAAAGACAATATACAAGTTTAAATATTATAGACAGCTTTTGCAACAAAGTACCTAGTATCTCTCCAGAACCACTAAGCACCACTACTGGTATATAAAAACTTTTTATTTGTCAATTTTCGGCCCCAAAAATGGATTCCCATCTATTCACATAATACTTAATGTGAGTTTATCATTTCAATTAGATATCATAGCTAAAGAAATGAATATATTGAAACCTGTTTTCCTCACAATATTTGTTATTTAAAAACAATGAATAAAATACTAAGTTATAGCATTGAATTATTCCTACAAAAAATGTCATTAAAATAAATTATTTTGGCCTCAATTTCAAAACTGGAAGCTTAACATTTAAGCCTCACAGAATTGTCCGCACTCCGAAGTGGCTATTACTTCAAGTGCACTATTGCATCATGATATTTTTTTATTATTTGTTCTAGTTTTAATTAATTAGCTATTAAAATTTCTAGTAGTTTCGTAATTTTATTTAAAGTTTAAACTGCCGTGGTCGTTTATAATTTTGAAATAAGTAAAAGTAAAAAATAATAAGAAAGAATAAGTAAGAATATACTAAAATATAAATTATTACCTTCAATGGTTTAATATTTATAATAGACTAGCTACTCACCCTTGCTTCGCTCGGGATCATCCATAGCTTGCTTCTCAGTTTAAAAAAAAACTTATTTTAGTAAAAAAAAAATTCTTTTAATTTTTCTTCTATACATTTGTCCTGACAATAAAAAACATACATTAGTACATACATACATTAACAAACATAAGTACATACATTTCGGTGATTCATTTTTACTTATATATAGATTCATCTCTTTCTCATCTTTTAATGTATATTTCTCTTTTTTATATATTTCTTTTGTAGTGGGAATAAAATGTCGATCTACACTCGCGTGCAACTGAATCGACTCAAGCCGTATATTGGTATAAAAGTCCGATTTTTAGGAAAATGGCTTATCCGATTTTCTTTTTTTTTGTTTGAAAGCCTAATCTTTTCTAATAAGAAATTCTATCCTAATGAGAAAAATCGGTTGAGTATTTATTGATAAAATTTAATTTGACAGAAATGCATAAAAAATGAAGAAAAGTGAAATTTTCGATATTGGTAAAATTAACTAACATCTAAGACTAGTTCCTTTGAAAAAAGGAAAAGGTAGGTACTCTTTAAGCATTAATTAAGCAAAAATGTCAACTATAATATTTTTCATGAATCATATTGAATGGATTTATTATTAAAACTAGCGGCTCACCCCTAGCGCGTTTCATCCCTAGGTACGTTTTAACGGTTAGTATGAAATAGATAGACTATATATTATATTAGTGCTCCGCTCGCTTAGGTAGTATATGATGATGATGTATAGCCTATGTATAGCCTTCCGCAGTAAACGGGCTATCTAATGCAAAAATAATTTTTCAAATCGGATTTGTAGTTCCTGAGATTAGCGCGTTCAATCAAACAAACAAACAAACTCTGCCTCTTTATAATATAAGTGTAGATAATATTTAACCAAGATAAACCTGAAACTATTATTTTTTATTGTAATTGCATTTTGTAGGATATCATCTTCATCCCCTTCTTCCTTAGAATCCTTGAGAATACTGGGGTAAGAGGAATAGCTACTAGGTCATAACTCAAGTCGGGATCCCCCTTCTTCAATATGTACTCAACGGCTTCTACGAGCCCTCGATAGTCAATTGTGGCGTCAAACGATCGTTTTTTCATTATTTACACAAAAATAAACGATAAATAATATCACATCAGCCCTTTCGCCCTGTTTGGGAACACCACGCTAAAATAAAGTTGTTATAGTCAATTTTCGATAAATAACTAACGTTATCTTATTAATTACTAGCATTGCCCGCGGCTCCGCCCGCGTTCAGATGACCAAAAACCAAATTCTTAGGTTATACATATTAGTATATGCTTATAATTCAGTTTTTGTGTTTTTGTATTTTTTATCAGAAATGAGATATTTTCGCGCGGTAAAAAATATCCTATATGTTGACCCCGGATAAGCAGCCATCATCATACCAAATTTCATCAAAATCTGTCCAGTGGTTTTCTCGTGATGCGATAACAGACAGACAGACAGGCAAAAATTCTAAAAACTATAGATTCGGACTCTGTATCGATTATAATGTCTATTTCAATTAGATTTCCCAAAAAATATTTAATGTACAGATTCGAGTTAGTTACAATTTTATTATATGTATAGATTAGTAAAAACTATAGCCGAGCTAACAATATCAAAATATACGAGGTTTTTTATTGTAAACACAAATATTTATTACCTACCTTTAGTCAATTATCTTTTTACACAATGTACCTAGTACATAAAATCATCAATTACATCCATTTTAAGAAATATTTTTCAATATTATGCTATTTATTACAAGGATATCAATGATACAATACATTTACATCGAAACCAACAGTTAATATAAAAGGTGAAAAGAGGGTATCTAATGAAATGGCGCCAATCAGGGCCAGCAGGCTTAAATGGGTTAAGTGGATAATCTGAAATATATTTTTATTTCCACTGTCCTACATATAGGAGACAGTAGGCATGTCTAGGTTAATTACGTTAATTTATTAAAGTATTATCATCATCCTACAAGGGGTTATGAAACAAAACGAGACATAAAGTACATAGATTATTACAAATATAATATATTCTTTAATTGTTTGAAATTTTATTTATCGAGAACTGG